AAAAAATCGAAATTACAAGTGAAAAACAAATTATTATTATTGTTTGTTTTGTTTTTTGGAAAAATCTTATGATTTTCCTGTAGGAAAAAAAATATGCTTGTTTTTCGTTTTTTTGTTTCTCGTTGTAGTTATTTTTGTTCCACAGGAAAATCTGTTTCAATTCAATTCAATCAAATGATTTTGATATTTGAATTATTTTGGTGACAAAATTATCAATCTTTAATCCAATAAACTAGATGGCAGCACAGGTTTCATTTATTGATTTTCATTTTGAATCGCCGAACGCATCGAAAACCAGAATAAAAAATAACCCAACAGAAAATCAACAAAAACTTTTCGAAAATTAAAAGATATTCATTGAATTGAAAACAATATGTTTTATCACTATGTTTTTTTTATTATAATATTTTTTGTTCAATATTTGTTTTGTTTTTTGTGAAAACAGTTAATCAATTTATTAACTATTTTCTTCGATAATTAGCTCTGATTAATTAATTAATTATTATTATAATTATAATAATTATATTTTTTTAAATTTTACAAATAAAAATTATATAATAATTTTTGTCATTTTTTTGTTTGTTTGTTTTGTTTATAAGTCGATATTACAATTACAATAAATAATAATAAATAACAATAATTATAATTTCATTCAAATGTCTGAAAGACTATATTTGACTGTGTTATTGTGTGTTTGAAAAAAAAACAAAACAAAACAGAAATTTCCTATTATAAATGAATGTTTTTTCTACTTGTTTTTGGTTAACTGTGTTTGTTATTGAATGTCATATGTGGAGAATGTGATATTTGTATTTAGATTTGGTCGTTTATGATGATGATTAAGATCTGAAATTTTGTTTACATTTTTTTTAAATTTGTTTTTTGTTTGTTTGTTTCGGAAAAATAAAATAAAATAAAATAACTATCACTTGTCATCAATGTGTGTGTGAGAGAGATATTTCCCCCAAAAAAGATAATAATTACGGTTATCACTATTTTTTTTATTGAAAACCAGAAAAAAATAAACATAAAAATACTGACTATAATAAAGAAATATTGTTTTTTTTTGATAATGTTTTCTGTTGTTGTTGTTGTTATTATTGTTGATCATGTTTGGATTATTCTAACAAAAAGCAAAAAAAAAAAATTCTGATTCTGTTGTCGATTCTGATATACAAACGTTATGTACACCTGTCATTGCGGTTTTCAATGAAAAAGAAATTCTTCAAATAACAAGTTAAAAGTTGATAAATAACAATAACCAACAACAACAACAACAACAACAGAAAATTTAAAATGCAATAAAGGCATCACTGATTAGTCGTTTTTCTTTTCATGTGTGTATATATTCTTTGTTTTGTTTTGTTTTGTTTTGAGATAATCATTATGGCTATAGAAAAGAAGAGAGAAAATGACATTCTGAACCGAGAAAATAAAAACAAATGATTCAAGACAACAACAACAACAACAAATATTATAATAACAAAGTTGTAACAATAATAACAATATATTTGACATGAACTTCTTTTTTTGTGAACAATTTCAATAATGTTGTACAATTTGGTGGTAAATGAAACCAAAAAAACAAGAAAAAAAAATGAAAGAAATTATCAATACTGTGAGCATTTTAGGTTTTTCGTTTGTTTTTGTTTTGGTTTGTTGATGATAATGATTGAAATTTTGATCAGAAAAAATTAAGAAATTAGCCATATTTGGATTATTATTTGGGATTAACTAAAAATAATGATGATAATTTAAATCAATTTGGTTAGTTGATTGATTACATAAATCGTATACATTGTGTTTGATGTGTGTTCAGTGTTTGTTATGTAAGTAAAATTCGTCTACATTTTTATTTTTCTTCTTCTTCTATTGATTTTCACCATCAAGTGCTTCTAGATATTTATTGTCGATCACAATTGGTACTATTTTATGTCTGTAAATAAAAGAAAAGATTATGATTAGTTTTTTAGTTTGAAAATAATTTTTTTCATTCACATATATTATACCTGAATGGTAACAAAAGTATGACGATAACCGGAAAAACCATTTTTATATATGGCCATGGTGAAAAACCAAAAAAACACATTAAACCTAATTGTACCATTTGACATAATGTAAATAAATGAATTTTTCTTTGTGGACATCTTCGTATATAATGATTTGGTGGATAGGCTGCCTTTATAATAAAAATATTGATGTAATTGATTTATATTAGTTATATAATCATATTATATAATGTTACATACTTGTTCCATAAATAATAATGTAATACGTTCAAACATTTGATTGCCACTGAGCGAAGTTATTGCCATATAAAGAAAAAGGCCATCAAGTACGGCAGTTGGTATATAAGCCATTGGATATGGTATTAAAAATACAGATAATCCAATCAATATATGTGATACAATTCCAGTTAGACGTGTTTCACGAACTTTAACAATACTAAATTTACATATTTTATCAATAGAAAAACAAACACAATTGTTATTCATAGAATATTCATAATCATAATCAAAATTATTTACATTTCATAAACATGACCTTGATCAACACGTTCTTCAACATCGGCTAAACTTCGAACATGTAATGGTGAATGTGGTAATACACCATGCATCCATGGAAATGCATATAATGAAAGAAAACCATTCAATATACCAACAACAAATAAATCCAAATGATAAGCACATCCTTTTTTCAATCTTCAAATTTAAAAAAAAATTTAATGTAATGTAAAATATCAATCATAATAATAATGAAAATTTACTTATTGCATGGATTATTAACCATAGCAGCCGATATATTTTGATCCATAAAGAATAAAAGTGATAAAGAAAAACCAAGACCCATACATGCACCAAATGCTGTCCATGGAAGATCTTCTAATCGTGCACGTTTAAATTGTAGCTCTTCATCATATCGAAAATGTTCGACTATGGTTAAACAACAACAACAAAAAAAAGATAATAAAATCACGAATAATAAGAAAAAACAAAACGAAACATACCTGGTATATCACGAAACACAAATGAACCGATAAAACTAAGAATAATAACTGAACATGGTAATGCATAATCGGCTAATAATTCTCTTTTACTTGCTTGTAGATAAGGACTATATGATGATCGATGATAATGTATGAATGGAGGAAAACAAAAACAAAATAGAAACCAAGACCGTTATCGTGATTTGAGAAAACAAAAAAAAAATTGTCATCCCAAATATTCAGGATGTCACATCATCATTTATACATACGTTTTATTAAAATTAAACAATGAAACAGCCATCCAAACAGTACCAAGCATGAGCAATAAAAAAAGTAAACTTGTTTCACGACGACAAATACCATCTTCAGACATATGTAGATCAGTAAATATTAATTTTAATGCTGCACTAGTTAAATTATGTAATATACGATTTGCTTCGGGTGACCAAATCAATGAGGCTAATGTTGTGGCTAGTGTTGATACATTGGCAGCAGATAAATTTATTATATTTGATGGATGATTACTTTGAACACTTTGATTATATGGATTGTTTCTAGTTGAATATAATGTATTATTTGTATGACCTAAAAAAAATGAATTTTGATAGATTGGATCAGTCCAATTATGATAATTATTATTTATATCGCTATTATTATTATTTTGGCCATAATTCAATGATGATAGATCACTATTAGAAATGGCAGCTGCAGCTGCAGCAGCCGCAGCAGCCGTTGTTGTTGTTATGGTTGAATTTGAAAATGATGGTAATATTGATTCAACAACCAATGGTAAATTTGAATGAGCCAATATTTGTGCTTGTTGACGAAAATTTTGTAATAAATGTTCACGACTTCTAGTACGATTCAATTGATTCAAACATAATGGACTATAATAATGTGTTTGAAAATCTAATTGAAAAGCAAAACAAAGCAAAAAAGAAAAGGTAACAATAATCTATTTGATATGGCAAACTTTACTTACTTTTAACCACATCACGACCAGCATCAACAGCAAAGGCAATACTAATAAATAATGAAAATATTTCCTCTGTAGATCTTGTACACCATTTCATTAATTTACTTAAATCAAACACAGCATAAAGTACAAGAAAAAATGTATTCCATAAACCAACACAAGCATACATTGCATGAAAATCTAATTGAAAATCTTCACAAATATTATAGATGACTGCAAACAAAAAACCCAGAAACAATGAATGAATGAATGAATAATGATTTGTGTGTTTGAAAATTTCTTTTCAAACAAAACAAACGACAAATACCTTTTATATAAAGACAAATAGGCGCTGTTGTCATAATAATCACCAATGGTTGACCACCAAGAAATGCAAATGACAATCCACCAATTGTTTGTCCAATAATTGCTTTACGAATATCTTAAATGAAGAAAAAGATTAAGAAATTAATATCACGTATTGAAAGGGTGATTAATGAATGAATGAATGGTTCATTGATGATTCATTAATATTATCATTAATATAACTAATGAAAACGGTTCAATCAGTTATATTATCCTATCATATATTCTTTAGCATCATCATTAATATATTTTCTTTGTAATCTTTTATTATCCAAAAAAAAATTGACATTAATTTATCATCGAATCGAATCGGATATGAACCAAAAAAAAAAAAAACAAAAACAAAAAACAAGGAATATTGTATTAATAAATTATTTTCCTATCGCTATCTATCTCTCTCTCTTTTCGTTTGGAAAATTTGTTCAGAGGTGAAACGAACAGAATGAAAAAAAAAGAAGATCTATTCAGTAGGTACGTGCCGTGAATAAGTGATTTGAAAAATAGAAAAAATTTTTCTGGTTCATATTGATGATGATCACACATACATCCTTATAACAAGTGAAAAGAAAAAATATTTTCTTTTTCTTTTTTTTTTGTATGGAAAGCCTTATATTGGAAGAAAGAAAAAAAAACAATAGTTTCTTATTCGTTATTATTTTCGATCAATAATAACGATGATGATAATCATCATTATCATCAGAAAAAGAAGAAGAAATTGTCAGAAGGAAAAAAAGATGAGATAGAGAAACACAATGACGAAAAAAAAAACAAAAGAATAATAATTTGTGAATAATATATTTCCTGGCTAGCTTGATCGAATCGAATCGAATTGAATCGATCGATCGATATGATCGAATGATTTTGGATCGATTTCAAATTTAACTGTATATGTGTTGTTGTTGTTGTCGTAGTCGTTAATGTTGTTGATGAACAAAATGTTTTCTTCAACGGGGTTTTATCCACTATCATTTGCCACTAAAAAATGAAAAATAAATGATCCATTGATAGATAGTAAAAGATGAAGAAGAAGCGACTATAGCGTTAATTTTATGCATGAAAAAAATGATGATTATAGAATGAAAATCTCATCATTTGAAAATTTTTATATTATAAAAAATGTTAATATTGATGAATGAATGAATGTTAAATGTGGGCTTCACTGCTTTAATTCAGTCATCATAAATAATGATAATGGTGATGAAAATAATACATTTTCTCTCTCTCTCTCTCNGATAGATAGTAAAAGATGAAGAAGAAGCGACTATAGCGTTAATTTTATGCATGAAAAAAAATGATGATTATAGAATGAAAATCTCATCATTTGAAAATTTTTATATTATAAAAAATGTTAATATTGATGAATGAATGAATGTTAAATGTGGGCTTCACTGCTTTAATTCAGTCATCATAAATAATGATAATGGTGATGAAAATAATACATTTTCTCTCTCTCTCTCTCTCTCTCTCTCTCTCTCTCTCTCTCTTTGTTTTTTTTTTCTCACAACGTTTGATTTGTTTT